ATAAGCTTTGTTTCTGTAGGAAACCAGGCTAAGAGGCATGTCCTCATTTCAGCTTTGGTTTTTGCATTGCAAATTTGAAACTTTGCTCCAAGAAGTCTTTATTGCATTCATAATCTCCAGTGTGTTGTATTGAGCTTTAGGGAATTTTTCTTCAGCCTAGCATCCTGAGGGATCACGAGGAATGGGAGCAGTAACGGTTTTTTGTAATTGGGAGTCACACAGGGAGTGGAATAGGGCCAATGGAACTGAAGGACCTACAAAAGATGTGAACAGGGTCATCTTGTGCTGGAAAGAAAACCCAGCTCTGTCCAAATTGGAACTCTGCTGAGATCAGTTTTAAAAAGGAGTGTCTTCTACTTGGCAATGACACATGGGATCAGGTAGCACGAATAACAAATGCATATCGATTAAGCTTAAGCATAAAAATATGAAGACAGCTTTCGAAACTGTTTATATCATGGGATCGTAAAACATTGAAAATCCTTTCTAAAGAAGCTGTAGAGCACGTGTTCCTTCACATTTGTACAACAGCTTCCTGTAAAGCTACTATGTTTTTTAATTAAAAATTCACACTTAGTCATCAACTCTTGTAATACTCAGATAAAGATCATTGATCTAAAATGAGATTTGGTTGTTATCGTGCTTTTGCAGCTTCTTACCAAAATGCAGGGACTCTGCTATCTGCATGCATTACTGTTCTAGGCGCTCTCTTCATGCGTTCAGACACCCACTTTCCATGTTATACAAAAGGTGGAACCAATGAAAGTCTCAGCGAAGTGCTGCAGCATGTTAATTCATCCATCTTTAGTTTAAATATTCCATTTTTAAACACAGATGATGTAATTTGAAAAGTGTGGGTGTTGCCAAAATACCATTTCCTACATGCAAAAGGATCACATTTGTTAATTTCAGTCAAAATGAACATGTTTGTCCTTGCACCAATTCGTTTCATTGCTGTTTTAAATACAGAACTTATTCTCCTTTTATTGATGTCTTAATATGCTGTATGTGGAAACTATTTTTTTTCTATTATTTTCATTCTGACATTTCAGAACTGTAGTAAGAGAGAGAAAATTTGATTCAGAAGTTACTTTTATTTATTTTTCATTCAGATGTAGAGCAAGCACCTACACTCTTGGCTTTGCCTTAGGGTGAGCTGTGCCCACACGGACATTAATAGAAAGTGATGTGGAGGCATTAAACTTGTAGTTCAACAGAATTGACAAATCCATTAGATCCACTTGTTTGGGAAAATTTTACTAGTCTTTTCTGAGATACTAACAGGTTCTTAAAATATAAGTGAACTTTGCTTCAGGAAGCAATCTTTTGATGACAGTTTAGTCCAAAGTTCTCCAAAGTGCTGTTAAGTGCTTGACTGGTGGGAAGGATTCCTGTCTTTAGGCAGTATGATGGTCCATGAAAACAAAATTGATGCTTTTATTTGACAGTTATTTTAGTGTGAACTTTTCTTAATTATTATTCTTGAAGACACCCTAGTAACTCTTGGAAATCAGTCATCTAGAGCCTTTCTTGGAGGGGACTATTTAAGAAGCTCTTTTCTGTGTGAGATGCTACTGACCTTAAACATACCGATACTTTATCTCTTGAAATGCTGAAATCAAGCTCTGTCGCTATTACTAGAAACTGCCTAGATTAGCTTATAGTTGAAAGAACAGAACATGAAAGTTTTACTTTAATCTATAGTATTACTAAATATTTAGCAGATGTGCCTTTGAGTAGCAGGAAGGCCTGTCTGACCTGCTTTCATTTTAATCACTAAAGGGATGTTTCATGATTTGGTGCTGACAAAGTTCGTGATCTTCTGAGAGTGGGTTATCCTTTGTGTTTTTCTTGCAAGGATATTGGTGAAAGGAAAGCAAAAAAAAAAAAATCAATATAAAGGATTTTGTTTCCTCCTTTTGTGTGGTTTTTTTTTTCTTTTGTCTTGAGGTATTGGCATGTTACTGCATTTATGGACTGCTGCAGCAGTAAGCAGCAAGCTCATTCACATGACAGCTGGTCAATTTTCCTTTGCATTGTATCCTGTCAGCCCCTCTAGTTTTTTCCAGAGTGTCTTTTCATGACTTTCTTCCAAGGAGACAACTATAATTCTGTTTTACAGTTCTAGGAATCTGCCTGTACTAATTAATACATTCATATTATTCCTATTTACTTTTTTCTCATCTCTTTATTTTGTAGAGTGCTTCTCTCACTGCTGTATAGCGTGCATTCTGGATCTTCTTGAAGTTTGACACTCTAGATGCATCTCAGTCCAAAGGCAGTGTGTACCAGTGGCTGCTTTTCCACCTTTTGCGTTTTTGAAGTTTCTTCAATTGACAGTAGAGGTTTCGTGGCACAGATAAGATTTTGGGACTCTAACAATTAACATTACCCCAGCTGCCTGCTGGTTGGTTTTTATTCCATAGACTTGCAGGTCATCTGCTGAATGCACCTGTGAAAACCATGGCTGTTGGGAAGGGTGTGATGAGTTTTTAGTGTGTGTTGGAAAAGCCATTGACTGGTCAGAGTGCTGAAGAGGAGACCTCCCAACAGAATTGGGTAACTGGGGAGTGGGGAGGGTGGAGGCAATTGACACTGTTGTTAGGCACAGCTTTTTGGCTTTGAAAACAAAGAATCATTCTGTGGCATCATCTGAAGTGCCCTGTTGCTAGATCCTCTTCTTCCCATATTTCTGTCCCCAGTGGCAGATGGTGTAACTCCTGCAAGAACCGTGGTCAGACAGGTAACAATCCAGCATTTTCTTTGAGAGTAAACACCTGCTATGGGACAGTTCGGAGGCTTGCAGCTTTTCTCAAGAAGGCAAATATTCTGATGCTTGTGATGAGGAATGCTCCACACTACACTCTGTTTGACTCTCCTCAAATCTCCTCCTAAATTCCTAGGCCTGTATAACATAGAACGTTTTTACAAGGCGGCCATAAATTCCATGCATCCAGGTCTTCTTGTTCATACAGCCTGTTCATAAAAGTGGTGGGAAGTTTTAATAACTAAATAGGTAGCTATTCCTTTGTAGAGCTGTAGCTTCAAAACTACATCTCACAGGATTTTATTGGTGTAATTTTGAGCCCCTATATAGACTTCAAAAATGTCCAAGCTCTTACATCCCCCCTAAGATTTGGGTAGCAGTGAGAGGAAGGCTTATCTTGGGCTGGTTGCAGCAGTTCCTGTTCCAGCTGCTGCCATAGCAGTTGCCTGTCCTTCCTGCTACTGCAGTAGGCTTGGCTCAGCTTTTTGTGCAGTGTTAGCTGAGATGCTGCAAATGTGTTTGTTTAAAAACAGAGACTTGAAGTGACCGAACTTTTATATTCTCCCAGTTTGTAAACTGAGGCCCTCGGTTTTGGTACTAAGTCTGCAGTTTGGAGTCAACATAACTTCACTCTCAGAAAATAAACTTTATATCGGCTATACTCCTAGCGAAGTCCTGCTATTTCAGCTAAAACCCTTTCTTGGAAGGTGGAAGGGAAAATTACTTGGCATTCTTCACGCCGAGTTGGTAAGAGAAAAGTTAAGCAGCCTTGTTTCATGCTGAAATAAAAAGCTGAAATTTGGGAATTATTTAAGGATTGTTTTCCCCTTAGACATGACAAAAACCTTACTGTGTGGAAGAGTTTGAAGTCCATTTACATTGCTGGTTGAGACTTCCAGACAGGCAGTTTGCGTTCAGTGTGTGCAGTCACCCCCTCAGGGCTGTTTGCAACAGGGCAGAAGAGCTGTTGCTTTGTCTGTCAACATTTCTTATTCCTGTTCCTCCTTCTGTGCTCTGGAGCAGTTACCAGAGATTGTTGGGTGCTTGTGGTCTGAACTTTTCTTCACAGTAAACAAATGTGCTGGTATCAATCAGGGAAGCAGTTAAGGAGTAAAAATATTCCCGTTGCTGAAGATTGAACACAGACTTTTTTATTGCGTGTGGGAGCAAAAGAGGGACTTCTGTATTCTTCTGAAACTGTGGTGAAAATTATAGAAGACTGGAGTGAGCCAAGAATGGGTTGAATTTTAAAAATTATAACGTTAAGAAAATGTTAAAGAAACAGGTTCTAGTTAAATCTGGAAAAATGCTGAGGCAGGGCATGAAAAAGCATTCCACCGCGGACAGTTGTTTGCCAGCTCATATGGAACTTAGGTGTTCGCTGGGGTAAGGGCAATAAAAATTTCCCTAATCACAGGGGAGGAGGCGAGATAGTTGATCACTGAAACAAATGAATTAAGGAGCTTGTGGAATTGTCTTCGTTACTGGTAGATGAATGCATTAAGGATATATTAAATGTTGTAGCAGGCTCTCTGCAGCCTCTCAGATAATAAGGCTAGTGAGGAGTCTTAGAATCCCTCTTAATTTCCTTTCTAACCTCTCTGCTCTTGAAACACTGTGAGGAAAGAAACAGAAACAAGAAAGGATTGTGCAAAGTGACCAGTCTTTTGTGATCTGCCAGATCTTACCTGGTGAGCGCAAAGCTCACTTTGTCCACGCTGCTCAGTCCTCTGCTGTTAGCAAGGGGCTTGTGTGAGAGGGGGTGAGGCCTTGTGGTGACTGGAGGTGGCTGTGTAGGTCCTCTCTCGTCCCTTAGACCCAGCACAGGGACCTCTGTCCAGCGAGCCAGGAGCTTTTGGTGCTCGCTGTTTCAATATATGTAACTACTACGTTTGCTGGTTTTCTTTGGTTTTTTTTTTGCTTTTTTTTTTTTAATAGTAGTGAAACATACTGCAACTTCCTCTCTTTATGAGAAGGAAGAGGAGGGTCAGTGGTTTATGTGGAGGCTTAATTTTTTTTTTACCAGGTTTAGGGAGATCTAGTTAACTGTGTTGCTTAGTTTGAAAAGGAGGAAAAGAGATCACTTGATCGGTCAGCAAGACCACATGACAAGCAGCTGAATGTAATTAGGTGGGTAGGGTGGTTGTGTGGGGCTGGCAGCTTTGCACGTCAGTGCGAATTTTAGAGCTATAATTCTGAACTACACTTCTTTTTTCTTTCTCTGCTGATACAACCTGCAGATGAGAAAAGGCTCTTGCATGACTATGGTATTCAAGAGATCGCAACTGTGTCAGGAAACTCGTCACTGAAGTACTCTTGGAAAACTACAGATCCATTTGTAGCTGTTAAGCATAGGTATGTAAACACTTTCTCTTTTTTATTCATTTTCATAAGATTTATTACATTGTTTTCCTTGAGCTGACAGTTGTGTGCCGAAGGTTCCTCTGTTAGGAGCTTTGAAACAATGTAGCTGTGCTTTTCCACAAACTGACTGAAGTGTTTCCGTTTTGAGAGACACTTCATCATTGCTGCATCCTCTTGTTCTAGAGGGAAAAGTAAACTTTGAACTGGGAGGTATGATCGCTTATGTAAAACAAGCTTTGAGTTTAAGTGGCAAAACTGCAGCTGTTTGGTATGCTATTGGTCATTGCTTTTTCTAAAGCAGATTTAAAGACAAAACTGGATGAGTTTAACAATAAGATTAAAATAAATGACTGCAGTGACCAGCATCTGGACACAGTAACGAGAAGATGCCCTTTCTGGTCCCAAGTCATCAGCCTACATTTCCTTCCGTGTTAAGTCAAACTTGTTCTGGAGTTAGAAGGTGGAATTAGACCTTTGATAGTTAGGTGTACTGCGCAAATACCATTTCATAATACAGAACAAAGCAATGCAGTATTTTTCAATGTTGTACTGCTTGAACTTTCCCCCCTCGTTTATTCCTGTGTTCTCATATAATGATAAACTGTACTTAGTAAAACAGGGCTTTAGAATGGTGGGTTTTTAACTGAGTTGTGCATCAATGTTTTTTAGGTATACTAAATGTGTTGGTGCTAAAAGGAGTAAAAATAGTGTGTTGCCCAGTCTGTTATTTTTAATCAGCAAAATAAATGGGACTGCAAGGAGCCATGGGAGCTCACCTGGTTCACATTCCTTGTTCAATCGTATAGTAATGGTGTTGATCTTCAAATTAATTATGGTAAAGGCAATACGGGGATGGGGTTTTATTACTGTGCTTTGTATCTCCTCTGGAAGAAACTCAAAATGTACATGCCCATCTGCCTAGGTCATTCCTTGCCACCCCAAACATGAATTTGTAGTGAGGCATCCTTTCTAGCCCATGTTTTTGCCAGCATTTTTCTAATCATGGACCAAAAGTCTGTTTTTTGTAGACTGTAAATAACCAAGGACTGTAAATAACCAAGTTGTTCAAAGACCAGAAAACAGTATTCTCCTCCACTTCCATGGGAAGGTCACAAGGCTTTCCCAGGGTTTTAACTGATGTCTAACATAGGGTATCTTAGGATGATTTTTCTAGTCCTGATCATCATGCATTGACTTGTGTTTATGAGAAAGAAGTGACAGATTCATAAATGTAGTTAAATAAGTATGTCTTCTTGCTGTTTCCTTACAGACATCCTCAGTGTATGAAAAAGCTTATATAAAGTAACTGGGAGGAAGGATTTTTGTAAGCATTGATGCTTGACTTTGTGGTTTTGTTTTATTTTGTTTTGTTTTCCCCCATGTGCTGGATGGATTAGTTGTCATAGCTGCTTCATTGTAACTTACTGATGTATAATGCTTTTCAATTATTGTGTTGTATGTGCATGTTGAACGTCTGTTACAGAAACAATTTCTAGCATGTTTTAAGGCAGTGATTTCTAATGGCCTAACTTATTTGAGGATTGCATTTGCTAATGCTGGTGTTCCAGTGTATAGAGCAAAACAATATTCCAGCATGTGATGCTGCCCCCCTTTCCCTGTCAATACTCCCAGTGGATTTCAGTATGTTTGGTTTTTTTTTTTTTTCAGCATGTCTTTCATTTACAACACCATCTTTAACACAACACCCTTAGTAATTACGCGTGGTAAAGACAAACTAGGAATCTAATTCAGCTAGAATTCTATAAAGATGTTACTAAGAATGACATCAAAGAGAAAAATTTTTTTTTGCCTTTAAAAAAATTGAAAAAAGGTCAGCAAAAATTCTGAAACGATACAAAATTTAAAGAATTAACTCAAAAATCTGAAAAACAGTTAATGGAAAAAGACCTGGAACATATCCTAGTCAAAGGGAAGTAGAAGTAACTTTTTAAGGAGAAAAAGTTAAGATAACTTTTCTTTGGTCTAAAATGTTTGACTTCATAACTAGGAAATAATACAGCTCCTGCTTCTGGATTTTGTTTAAAAACTGTGCCATGGGGATAAAGTTTCTTTAAAAGAACCTCAATTTTTGTGCATTATGGTGCAACTGCTGGTATAAATGGAAGCATAACTGGGATCTTGGTGAGTTGGGAATTCTCTGGTAGCGAGTGGGTTGGTGTGTATTAGCATAGCTCCGCTATAGGCACTGCAGCTGTACTGACAGTGCTTACAGATTTTCTTTTTTCACAGACTGAATTTGTTTTTACCGGCATCTTGTTACTGGATTTTTATTTCCTTCTGTAGGAAATCATATGCACATTTTAAAATCAGAATGAACACTGCAAGCCAAAGTCAGCCTTTTAATAGTAGATGACACAGCAGCGCTTGCTTTAATGATTCTTTTCAAATAGAAACTCTTGTTGGACAGTGTAGAATATAAAAAATTGCAAATCATTATATGTAGTTGCTTTGTCAGTTTGTACAAGGCTTTTGGATTCTTCATAACTATGCAAAGTTTTATACGTAGTTTTAAGCCAAGAAAGCACAGTCTGAATCCACTGTGGCATGAGAACTACACGTGTGTTTTTTAACACAGTTTTCTACAGGGAACTTGCACTGCTTGGATCAATTGGAACAGTCTGACTGGCAGTTTATTTTCTCAGAATAACTTTGTATATTTTTTCTGGAACTTGAGTTATAGAAGTGGTTGTTCAGCAAGCTCACTGCTGCTAAGCCATGTATTAGCTGTAGCAGAAACATTCCGAATAATAATTTTAACTGAAGACTTCTGTGGAGAGATGTGGGAGATAGACTGTTATTGTAGGACAGTTAAAGTGACACTTGAAGAACTATGTCTGCATGAATTGTTACGAAAGAATTCTGCAGGAGGGCACATACAGGATGAAAAGCTGGCAAGAGCTGCCAGGTTTCAGCTGGGGGTGCTACTCTACAGCCATCTTGGGCCTTCCGTCAAGCTGGGAATAATTAAATAAATCAGACGGGCAATCTGTGGCTTCTGACTTATGATTCTTTTTGCTTTCCTTGCAAGGCTCATGCATACCTCCATGACAAGAATTAGTAAGAAATTCTACTTTGTTGTGCTGTTTACCTGAGCAGGTTTTGCTGTATACCAAGATATAACTGTGGAGCAGTAAGATAAATAGTGTTAGCAACTCAGGTTGAAAAACAGCAGGCATTCTGAATGGAAGCTTTGTGTTGTGCAGTTCAGCCTGCTTAATCGGTGCTTCTTTTGAATTATCCTTTCCTGAGGCTCTAGAAAAGAAGCTGTGCTGGGATAGAAATTGAAGCAAACATTTTGCCAAAGCACCGTCTGAATATTTTGACAGACTGCAGAGCCTCTAGAGAAAGCTTGGACGGTGTTAATACGTGCTGCAGTTCTGGAGCTCTTCGAGTGGAAGATTCAGTGACTTGTTGCAGAAAGAAAAACAACACCAAAATATGTAGTTTTAGCTTTGCTTTGTTAGAAGAGTTTAAGAATGATACTTTCGAGTCACAAGCGTGCTCCAAAATGACTGTGTCTCACTGCCACAGATCAACGTTAGGGCTTTGCTGTCGCGCGTTAGTAACTTCCTGAAGAGAAGAGGTTGTGGGCTAGTGAATACCACCTGGCTCTGTTTCAGGCAGAAGTGGTATTTCATTATGTAAATTATGCCCAGAGTAATCTCAGCAAGTTTTTCCTAGCTTTTTCATAACATATATGAAACATAGAAGCATCATATATGCTTGTTATTTTCAGACGTGTTTGCTAAAAAATCCTGCCCTGTACTGCCTGAAAATACCCCTCTCAGACTGTAGCTATTGCAGACTCTGGAATCAAAGGTTCAGTTCCTTTCTGAGACCTCTTAAGAGCAGATTATTCACAACTGACCCGTCTCTCCATTTCTTTGAAGTGTCATGCTGCCAGCCTGCAGTCCTCTGCAGTGGTTGCAAGCATGGTCTGGAGTATGACTGGTGATCTCAGCAGCTGCAAAGATACTTCTGTCAAGATTTTGTCATTTTTAAGTTTGGGAGAAATGAATGCTGGCTGTGAGCCTTAGTTTTATCAATCTAGGTACATCCTTCCGTCTTTATCCATGAGCACAACTTACCTGCTTAGCATCTCTGGCCCCTGTATTTCCAGGCCAGTCACATTGGATTTGAGTTTAAGGAGTAGGAGGAATAACCTTTTCTAGTTTACTGGGCAGGGTTTTTCTCAACTGACAGTTTTCCTTGCTTTCCCACAGGTAACTATAAATTTATAATTTTGCACTTTTTGCTAGATCCATTTAAGAAACTCTTCGGACTAGGTATTTCCACACATAACTTACTATTCCTAATGTCATGCCTGATATTCATAGGTTACAGAGATTTTCCAACCCACTAGAAATGGGTAGATTAGTTGTTCAGTCAATAACTTTGATAACTCATCCATTTTCTGAGGAACAGGCTGTTATCACTGATGGCTGGAAGTGTGATCTGACGCATCAGTCCTGCTCCAAAAGGCCGTGGTGCCTTATGGTTAGCTGTTTTCATTTGGCAGGTGTACACAGATTAACTTCTGACAGACTTAAACATCTTTGACTATTTCTATGTCATCTAAGCAATGAGAAACTTTTAACTTCCTGAGGAATAAGTGGCCAGAACGGCACATAGGAAATGTTGCATCCACCTGTTATTTGTTGTCGAACTAAATCAAGTAAATTGCACCAAAAATAAGAATTATTGCAGTGTTTTGGAAATGCAGTAATGCTCAGGAATGGAAGCAACTGTACAAAAAACAAAAGTAACTTCTGTTGCATCTTCCAATCAAAAACCAGAGTTAACGAGGAGCACAATTTACCTCCTACGAAAAACAAGAGAAGCAAGTGTCTCCCGGTCCAAAGGATGAAAAGGTGGATTAAATTCTGCACTGAAGTTCTTTCCTGCCTCACCCCTTTGCATGCTTTCCCACATCGTGTTAGGTAAATGATGCAGTTTTATAGTCCCATTTG